TTTTTTTTTTTTAATTTTAAAAGTTCCAACCTAAATGGATAAAAATACAAATAACTATTGTCTGTCACCTAAAGCTTACACATAGAGTTAATAATCACAAAACATTAACAAATGTTTACAACTCAACTCGTTTATATTGATAAATACAAGTTTTAATAGTTTTATATTTATTTTAATTAGTTATAACACTTTTAATATTATTTATGGAATTTAATATTTTTTTTACTTTACATTGTTCCACATAAAGTTTTTGTTCAAAAAAAATTCTAAAAAGTACATTGTTTTCAATGATTTTCTTATATCGAATTAATAAAAATCATGTTTTTTTTAATATTCTAACTTATATGTGTTAAAAATGTATTACAGATGAGAAAGATGACAGAGTATGAAAAGTATATTTTATAAATTATAGTGCATTATGTTATTTTGATGGTATATTTTTTCTATTAACTAAATAGTGCTCCCAATATGAAATTATTTTGTATCCTCCACTGCAATTAGCTTTCCATAAACTCATATTGAATTTTTTAAAATTCCATTGACAATTTTTCCAACAGTTGAAATATGGTCCGAAAACAAATTCTAACTGAAATTCACACAATAATAAATAATGGTAATTATAATCATTAAATCAACAAAAATTTCAATGTAATTTAATTTGATCTCTATTGAAATAGACAATGAAATTTTCCAATGAACTCTACACCAATGAAATATTCATTCCAATTTTCAGTGGAATACCTGCATTTTTTTTAATTTTAACACATGAAATTTTTAGTCCATATATTTTTTTAAAATCACTCATTATTTTATCTCAAAATTACCTATTAATTTTTCAATTGAGTTAAATTTCTTAATATTAAATAATAAAAATAATTATTATTTGAGTGTATTTTTTGTGGGATAAAAATTCAATTCAATAAATAAAAGGTGCAATTTTTAAATGTAAGAGTGTATTTCTTAATAGGAAGTAGCTAAATAAATTGATCCACTTTTTTTGTTTGTTAGATTATGTATATATTCGCTATACCGATGAATATTCGTTGCGATTTTAAGTGGAATGTCTGACGTTGTATTTTTTATTGCAATATAACAATTTTTTCAAAACTTAATTTCATGTAGTAATTTTTTTTATTAATTAAAGTAATTACGATTTTATATTAAAATTATATTAAAAATAAATTATTTTTCAAAATATGAATTATATATCTTTTCAAAGCTTTGTTGTATGAGTTGATTTTCTGGAGATATGAAAGAAGCATTTTGATAGATATGTGAAAGAAACAAATTCGTGAGGAATAATGGTATGAGAATGATGAAGTTGATTTTTAGGAGATCTAGAATGTTTTGTTCGTGTATCTATATTTATTTAATTAAATATTAGTTATTGATTTATTAACAATTTCTTCAAAGACCACCTCAATCTCCATCATTTTTAGTAAATTTAGAATTATTTGAGTTATACTTTGGGCGTGGATCGCAATAGTTTTAAATGTTATGCTAGTTTTCAATGTTACGTTGTTATTTATTTAATTAAATATTAATGATTAACTAAAAAATATAAGATTTGAAGATTATTTAGTGTATTACTAATTTATCATTAAAATTAAGTCAAAGTAAGGGTTTTTTAGGTAGTTCATTTGTTAATTAAAAATATAAAATAAATTGAGTATTATTGTATTACTAATTTGCCATTAAAAATATGTCAAAGTAAGGGTTTTTTAGGCAGATCATTATTTTTACAAAATCACTCGTCCTTTTATAATAGTATAGATAGATATAGATTAGTTTTAATATTTTAACATAACTAACATATATTTTTTTTAATATGTATAAATAATTATATCAATTAATTTGCGCAGTTTTATATTTTAAATTATCTAAAATACTTAATAATGCTATATATAAATAATTTATTATTTAAAGTAATATATAGTACATAAACAACTATCATTTGGCCAAGGGTTTAAATTTGATGAGTATTGTAAATAATTATTATTTATGGACATTACATAGATATAGACTTTGTAGTTATGAGCCAATAGCTCATCAGGTCATTAGTCATGTACATTATTGTATTCCTTATAAAGAGGGCTCAAGTGAATGATGAATAAGACGAGGGGTTTTTAGGTTGTATCTCTTCTCAATTGTTCTATTTGTTCTCTCCTAAGCTTACTCTCTTTGTCTATCTTAGATATCGACAATTTATATTATTACAACACGTTATCAGCACGAGTACTCTACCCCTTAAGTGAACGATGGTGGCATCAAGATGAATGGGCAATCAAGGTAACAATCGAGAATTGATGTATGCCCTAGAAAAGAATTGTGTTTTTTTGTCAATATAACATTCAAGCTCTATTCAATATCAATAATGGTCTATTAGTTTCATCAATTTTAATTATATTCCAATATATACAAAAGTATGAATTGGTGATTTTTGTATGAGTTTGATAGTTGTGACTGTGTTGTCAAGTATTTGTGAGTTAATTTCAAAAATTTGTTATAAATCGATAATAACTCATTTTATCATGAATTTCGGATATGTGATGCGACTCTGAGTGTAGATGATCTAGTAAAATTTTGAAGTTTAAATTATACGTGTATTATTTGTTCTGAATTTTTAACTTAATGTGTTCAGTGCTGAAAAATTCTATGAATTGCACTGTACTAATATTTGAAGATTTGTTGTGGATGATTTTTATGTTATCGAACAGCGTACGGCACGAGGACGTAGGCAGCGTGACGGACGGCTGTAATGACAGCCGACGGCGTGAGGACGGCGACTTCCCAATTATAGGCGGCGATGTGTGTGTATCTGTGTCTGTTGGTGTGTGTACAATGTATGTGTGTGTGTGTGTTGGGTGTGAGACAATGCATTGGGACCCTTGTGTGTGTGCAAGTGTGTGTGTGTGTGTTGTGTGGGTGTGTGCATGTGTTATGCGTGGGTCTACGTGTGTTTGTGTGTATGTGGTAGCTTATGTGGCGTGTGTGTATTTGTGTGTGAGAGAGATAGGAGGTTGTCCCATGTGTTAGTGGTTGTATATGGTGTGGGTCCTATTATTTGTGTGTAAAAATTACCATATTACTCTTAATGAATATATAATTTTGACTTTTTCTTTAAGTCATATCATTCGATATTATGGCTACGATTTATTTTTATTTTTTTCATTGAGCATCATTTTCACTTGAACTCAATCCTATATATACACGGTTTTATTGCCAATATATATTAGGTATCTTTTTTTAATTAAAATGACCTAATAATTCTAAAGGAACCGCCAAGAGTACATCCAAAATCCAATTGGACCACGCACGCGTATAATCACTAGACGTAATAAAATTTGCGGCCCCTCAAGAATATGAGGAAAGAAATCCTAGCTGCCATGTTTTCTCTGTCAAGCATGCTTGAAAAACTTTTATTGTTTTGGCCCATGTCCTTGTACTATTGAAAAGCAAAAGTTGAGGCCAAATGACCTTATACCAATTGCACACAAATCACGTTTTTTTTTTTTTTTTNAATCCTAGCTTAATTGCACACAAATCACATTCAAGCAAAAGCCCCATTTTCTACAAAGAACCCTAAACTTCGAAGTTCACTACCAAAACTCCAAGTTTGAAACATTTTGAATTCTATGACAAAATCAAAATTTAACAAAAAAACTTTCAAAATTCGAATTTTACAAGACTAATCTTAATTCTTGAATTCAAGGTAGAGAAAGATGGTTTGTTTGATGTGTAATTAGATTTAAAGCCCGCCATTGAAGGGCTGACGGAGACGGAGGAGGCAACGAAGATGGTGGCGACGGAGACGCGGGCCGAGCTTCACGGAGGTTGCGACGGAGATGGTTTTCGGTGAATCTTTGGGAAAGTGGCTGACGGCGGAGTTGGTAGCCGATGAATTTTTTGGCTTCCGTTTGGGAGATTTTTTCTTCACTTTAGTGAGGACGATGGAGACCGATGATGATGTGGAGCTATTACAATAAAAATAAATAGTTAATAATAATACT